CCCAAAGATCGAGTAACGTCCTCAAACAAGCCAAACTCAGAAATCAGCGCACCTAGGTAATCTGCCCTCCTAGACAATGCGTCTGCAACCTTGTTGTACTCTCCTTTCACATAGTCTACTTTGAAGTAATACTGATCTATGACTTCAATCCAACGTTTGAGTGCATCGGAGAGAACTGGTTGGGTCTTGATCCACTTCAGGGTCTGATAGTCAGTTCTCAAATAGAAGAACCTTCCTAACAGATAGTGCCTCCAGTGGACAAGTGCCTTGTAGAGTGCGTAGAGTTCCCTCTCGTAGGTGGACTTTGCCAACTTCTTTGATGACATCTTTTTGCTCATGTACTCGACCGGTCTCAACTTTTTCCCTTCCTGATGAGCCAGCACTGCGCCAATCCCATATTGGCTTGCTTTAGTGGTTACACCAAATGGCGTTTGTGGGTCGGGTACCATGAGAACCTCATGGTGCGTGAGAGTATGCTTCAAACGCTTGAAAGCTGCCTCACACTCATCGGTTCAGTCCCATGGTGTAGCAAGTCGAGTTAGATTAGTCAAGGGAGATGTGATCGTGCTATAATTCTTTACGAAATTGCGATAATAACCACGCATTCCCAAGAATGATCTGACCTCAATCACAGACTGGGGTCGTGGCGAGTCACGTATGCTAGCCACCTTTCCATCTTCGGGCCTGACCCAAGAACAAGATTTGAGTGCGACCGAACTCGCATTTCTCTACGTTTATCTTATATTTGTGCTGCCGAAGGAGTGAAAGTACTTTATCTACATGCTGAGCATGTTCCTCGACAGTTCTACTAAAGATAAGTATATCGTCGAGGTACACGACGACGAACTTATTCAAGTACTCATGGAAGATCCTATTCATGGCGTGGTGGAATGTACCCGGCGCATTGCAAAGGCCAAAGGGCATCACCACAAACTCGTACCAAACTCGTACAGACCGTACCTAGTCTGAAATGCGGTTTTGTGCTGGTCCTCTGGTCTTATGGCAATCTGATGGTAGCCGGATTTTAAGTCTTTGTATAGTACTCACATCCCTGCACCCTATCCAATAGGTCGTCGATGCGGGGTAGAGGCTCTGCGTTCTTAACGGTGATGGCATTAAGGCCTCTACAATCAATGCACATCCTTAGTGTTCCCCCTTTCTTTGGAACAAACAGGACAGGTGAGCCAAAGGGGAAAGTGCTAGGCCGAATCCAACCCTTTTCTGTGAGCTTATTAAGTTGCCGACGAAGCTCGTCCAACTCGGCCGGAGCCATCCTATAGATTCTCCCTTTAGGTGTCTTGCTACCTGGGATGATCTCTATGGCATGGACAACCTCCCTGTCTACGACTCCTGAGGGCTCCTCGAACAGATCAGGGTACTTAGCGACGATTGTCTCTATCTCTGGGGGTGTTTTAACTACCTCCCCTTTCTCAGAGACATAGACTACATACATTCCTTCCTCTTGGTTCTGTTTATAATAGTTATAGAAGGCTGATGCGCATAAGCACCCATAGGAATCTATTAACCTACTGGCTTTATACTTAACCAGTCTAACGGTCGAGCTATTAGGCAACTCGTGCTTCAACACCTTCTTGTCCCAGTCAAACTGGGGCTTGGCAACCTCGAGGTAGTACATGCCCAATTACATGTCAAAGGGCAAATCGTCGCTCACCAGGAATGATATCTTATGGTTTATCTCTCTTCCTGGGTAGGAGAATGTATAGACCATGTCTTCAACGTAGTCCTCTACCATCATGCGCTCTTTGTTGTCCAAAGTAGATGCTACCGGTCTACTAAGGTGCTCCACCCGGTCTTTTAGGCGCAGTCTATCAACGCAGTAGCGACTTCTGAAGTTTTGCGTGGAGCCAATGTCTACAAAGGCGCCGCACTTGCGACCACCCACACCAACTTCCACAACGAAATGCTCCCCTCTAGGACCTTTACTCAGTGCCACCCAGGACTCACGAGGGTCCCTTGCCGACCACTCACCTTGAAGGTCCTCTAAGGCTTCAGACACATCCAACGTATAGAGTATAGTTGGGTCCAAATGCGTCTGCCGGGTGACTAAGGAGTCGATAGCTTCGGCCAACTCTTGAAACGGGGAGGGTACATCACCCACTTCAACGAAAGTAGAAACAACTACAACTTCTACCGGCCCTAAGTGTTTCCCGAGCTGGAGATCGTAGAGGCCCCAGACTGAGAAGAAGAAAACCCACCCGTAGGAGGGATCTTCTGCAAGACCTTCAGGTTCTTGCACTTAAACTGCGTATGGTCGTTTTCGCCACAGTTTATGCAAGCACCTCGCGACCAACGGTCTTGCCACACTTCTTGATCTAGGCCTGCCCCTGACTCCTTTGCTGATCGCCCTTGCCGCGGCCACCTGCCTTAGTCTTAACTACTGCGGCGAGGTTGCTACCCTCAACACTCTCCTCGCTGTCTAACACTGCACCCTCCACAAGTTCAGAAACATCATCGATTTCAGTTTGATTCCCTTCGGAATCAACCATCATCAATCGACTACCCTTCTTCTTCCATTCTTGTGGAGTCTTCTTCTTTCTTCCATCCGTAGAAGGGGTTTGAGCACTACCCAGCGTATCCTCTAAGTCTAGGGCCTTTTTACTGAATGTCTCAAAGGTGTGATACTCTAGGCAAGCCTCGCTAGCCAGTAAGTTCTTCATATCTGTGGGAAGACATCTTAAGAACATGGTCAATAAGATCTGTGGATTGTACTCCACTCCTGAGACAACGATCAGGCGCTCTACGGTCGTGGTAAGCTCTCGCACTCACTTGTACTTCCTAGCATCAAGCTTTAATAGCCCATCAGTGGCAATTTCTGTCTGCTGAGGGTTGTGCCATCGTGCTTCCACTAAATCCATAAAGCTTTTTAGGGTGTGGGTCTGCGGCCAATCACCCATGTTCCTGCCGAACCCCTTTGAAGCTACCAATCCATTTAGCTAGCGAGCTGCTGAACCCTCTAAGTAGGATGCAGCAGTAATCACTTCCTCCTCTACCAATGTCCTCTTTGCCCTCACCCACACCGGCACCGTTCTCAACCACGTGTCGAGAGCCTCATCCTTCTTGCCTCCTGAGAAGCTTGGAGGTGGTTTCAGGGGGGTATTGGGATACCAAGGTAATTGTTGTCCCGCTGGCGGGACTGGTGGCGATTGTGGTGTAGCTCCAGTCGCTGGACCAGAAGATGAAGAAGCAACAGTCTGAGATAGGGCTGCTGCTGATGTACCATTTGGTGGTGGTCCGGACTGAGCGGCATAGGGGCCTGTCGTCGCTGAGAATGGCAGCGATGGAAAGACTGTTGGCCTGATTCCTGGCCTGTGCATGGCGTTCAGGATCTGGTCCAAGGTGTCCTGGATGGTATCCAGTTTACTGTCCTTGCTCGCCTTAAGAATCTTTTCATTATTGCTAAGGGTCGAGTCATCTAACCCGTCTAGTGCAGCCTTGTCTGCCTCCCTACCCTCTAGTTTGACATTCCTGTCTCTAATCTCTTTCTCTCTTGTAGTAGCCTGTCTGAGTTCCTCCTCCAGCCTTAAGTGAATCCTTTCTACTTGTTGGAGCTCCATCTGCTCCCGGGTGTGTGGAGGTGTTGAGCTGAACTGCGAACCCACCATCTGACTAGTGCCAACTCCTGACGTACTGGAGATGGATTGTGAACTGGTCGCGTTGATTGGCATACCCAAACTCTGACCAGTAGAGTTTGCAGCAGAGGTGGCTGAAGAGGTAGCCATTGCTACTGCGGTAGCTGCTGCTGCTGCCAACGCTCGTTCAACTGCCGCCGCTGCCTCTCTCGCAGTCTCTAGATTGCGGACCCTTGCTTCAGCCCTAAGCCTTCTCTCGTCTCCTGGTAGTAGAACCTGGAACACAACGGGTATCCTACCGGTATTCCGTCCTGTCTGCCTCCTATCGTCAGATCTATCCTTCCCACCCTCTGATCCACTCATGGGCTAGGCAGACGCTGTCTGCACTAATGTCCTCTCTGAGACCTACTGCAACATACGTCTGACTGGTTCTAAAAATAAATATAATGATAGATGTCCGACAAGTTACCTAGACTACTAGTCAAGCGGCATCAACAGCACCTACACAAACTGATATCTGAAAATTTATGATAATCGCATTTCGTTTTACCTCAAAATTTCTGATATAAGTATTTCGTTTTCACGCAACAAATATCTGAAAATTTTTGACAAACGCATTTCGTTCTATCTGAAAATTCCTGATAATAGCATTTCGTTTCTCCGATATTTCGCATACATAGCCGAAAATTTCTGATGTTAGTATTTCGTTCTCTAGGCATATTGGGATAACGATAGAAGTGGTCATATTCTCGGAAACTGGAATTATTCTTTTCTGAAAATCGCATTTCCATTCTATCTCGCAATTTTTTTTTTGAAAACCGAATCTTGCGAAGCCTACCAATATTGCGTTAGGCATATTCGGAGGTTGCTATATTCTCTGAAACTGGATTTCGTTCTTTTCTGAAAATCGCATCTTTACTCCATTTCGCAATTTTGTTTTTTCAAGATCACAGTTTGTTAAAGCCAAAAACTTTGCGGAACCTAGCCTAGATCTCGTTCATAGTACTCTTCTGACATGTCGTACTCATAATAGATCGACAGATATAAAAAAAAAAAAAGAAAAAAAAAAGGAAGTGGTCTTTTATTTTTATTTTATTTTTATCTCTTGATTAGGGCCGGAGGGAAGTATTGTGGGGTTGTTTGCCTACCTAGGTTCTCCACTCCCACCCACCCCTTTGCATGCATTCAGGGTTGGTACAGTGCCACGTAAGCAGTGCCACGTCAGCAGTGCCACGTCAGACAATGCCACGTAAGCAGTGCCACATCAGCAGTGCCACGTCACACACAGTGCCACGTAAGCAGTGCCACATCAGCAGTGCCATGTCAGACAGTGCCACGTAAGCAGTGCCACGTCAGCAGTGCCACGTCAGACAGTGCCACGTAAGCAGTGCCACGTCAGACACAGTGCCACGTAAGCAGTGCCACATCAGCAATGCCACGTCAGACACAGTGCCACGTCAGCAACATGACGGGCCTGCCAGGCCAACTGGTCAATGAGCCCATTGCCGACTACAAAAAGCGCTTCCAGGCTCAGTTTGCTGTAATCGAGGCTGAGGAACAACGCCAGCCTGCAGCCAAGGCTGCCCAGCTACAGGCTGACGAAACGGCAGCAGCAGAGAAGCTCCGGCTACAGGCCGAAGTAGACGCAGAGGCCCAGGCTCGCCGCAAGGAAGCCCAGGATCTGCTGCAGCGGCATGAAGCAGCCATCGTTGACATACTCAAATTCTGGTACTTTGAACCCAACGGCGACGACGCGACACCGGAAGAGCAGCATAAGGAGTTTCTCTCCAAACTCGTGACATGGCTGTTGTACACTTGCAACTACCAACAGTCCGAGTTGGAAAAACAGTACCAGGACCGAACGCAACAGCATCAGGAGTTGGCGAAGCTCCGCCGCACAGTGCAGAGCCAGGAGGATGCAACTTGGGCACTCAATGCCCGAATGCTGGACCTGGAACAAGCTGTACCAGGACCAGCTGCTGGGTCTTCCAGCAGTGCAACCTCTAGCCGCCAACTGGAGGAACGCGTTGACCACGTAGTGGAAATGCTCGGCGACATCAGCACCTTCGCTGCGCCCACCACCATCATCGAGCAGCTGCAGTCGACGAACGAGGATGACAATCCGAAGATGTACAAGATGCCAACTTTCCAACTGGACAAGTTCGACGACTACACACAGCAGGATCCGGTCCTCTGGTGGGAAGCATTCACAACGCAACTCAAGATTCTGCCCATCACCAAGCACGCGTACATCGGCGCCCTGTTCCTGAACTCAAAGGGCGGATGCCAGACCTGGTTGAGCCACCTGGCAACCTCTCACGACGTCGACGTACCGGACTTGAAGGACAAAATCACATGGGAGGAACTGACACGGCTGTGGAAGAAGCGATTCATCTTCGACGACGCGCCGACACTCGCCATCAACCGTTTGTTCACCATGTCACAAGGCAACACTGCAACACGGGATTGGCTCACGGAGTGGCAGAAGATTGCGGCAGTGCCCAATCTGGACTTGCCATTCACGCATCTACGCCGTGAGTTCTACAACAGGTCCTGTGCTGCATTGAGCCAGGCTCTTGGTGATCGCGAGCAGTACTCAACCTTCGCTGAGATCATTGACAAGGCAAGGGAAATCATCAAGACCAACTGGTCAGCTGCACACGAGAAGTCAACATGGCAGTCGACCTATGTGGAGAAGGTACGAACTAGTCCGCGACAGCAGCACTTCGCTGCAGTCCAGTCGGGCAGTGGAGATAACCCAGCAGCCACTCCAGCATCAAGTGACGGAGATCAGGTGGCTGCTGTCCAGCCGCGAAGCAACAACAAGTCCCGCAATAATGGGAAGGCGAAATCCGCATCGCAGGCCGGGAATGGACAGCCAGTACAAGTTCCACGGGTCAAGTTCGGCTTGACCGAGGCGGAGTACAAGGTCCGCAGCCGCTACGGCAGCTGCTATTGGTGCAACAGCACCAAGCACAAGACCTCCCTGTGCCAAGATCAGGGCAAGGAGGATGTGCGACCCCGCCTCAACTCGGGAAACTTAGTTCCGCGGAAGGTGAGGCGACTCCACCTTCCACTGCGCCCGATTCGACCGCCTTGCTAGCGGCCTCCTACACATCTGGGGAGGATGCGAATGTCACAGGTTCTCGTTACACTTACGAGGACTATGCTGTCCACTTGGTTCCACCGCTGGACCAACCGCTCCACGTGCAACAATCTACCACATGCACGGTTTCATCACCATCGACAACCGATTCGGCAGCTTCGCCGCCATCTATCGTCGGGGATTCATCGTCGTGGTCAAGACTTGAGGTGCTCGACCCACTGACGTTCAAGGACTTCCAGTGGATGCCCGTTCCCCCGACCGGACGATTGCCGAAACCGCATTGCAATGTGCTCATGGCACAACTGCGAGATTACTTGCACACTGCAGTACCGACTTCGTTGATGGACGCCGGAGTAGAGGTTGTCAACCTTCACGCTTACATTGCGAAGATCGACCGCGAGTTCAAGACGCAACGGTATGACGACATCGACACACCATTGCTATATGTAGGCATTTAGATCGGAGAGGCGACCTGCAACGCCTTGATCGATTGCGGAGTATCTCGCAACTACATCATCCAGGACTTCATGGTGCGCGCCGGCCTTGGCCCACGCGTTCGGAGGAGGTCCCAGCCTACGCAAGTCACGTTGGCGGACGGTCACACGCACAAGTCCATTGACCGGTGCATTGACAACGTCCCAGTGTACTTTGCCCCTCACGCAAGTGAGGCGGTGTCCTTTGACATTCTGGACACCAAATTTGACATGATCTTGGGCATGTCATGGCTGCGAAGCGAGGATCACCTGGTGAACTTCTTCCACCGCACCGTTCACATTCGYGATCGGAACGRAGTACTAGTTCCATGCAYGGTGCCTCTTCCTYATCCTTCGATCARCTGCCACRTGGTATCYGCCGCAAGCATGCGASYTTCCATCATCAGAGACGACATCGAGGAGATGGGGGKGTGTTTTCTCCACGCCCTCCYGCCCCATGACGCTTCATCGACGGACTCACCTTCGGATCCACGCATCACCGAGCTTCTCGACGCCTACAGCGATGTGTTCGAAGGCCCGCACGGAGTAGTACCGGATCGACCCATCCGCCACGAGATCATCCTCGAGGACGGGGCCRTACCTCCGCGCGGTTGCATCTACCGAATGAGCGAGGAAGAGTTAAGTGTGCTTYGGGCACAACTCGACGACCTTCTGGAGAAAGGCTGGATTCGGCCTAGCTCATCGCCATACGGTGCTCCTGTTCTCTTAGTCCGGAAGAAGAACAAGGATTTGCGGTTGTGCATCGATTATCGCAAGCTCAACGCGCAGACGATCAGAAACGCCAGCCCTCTCTCACGCATCGACGATCTTCTCGAGCGACTGGGCGGCGCCAAGTTCTTCTCCAAGCTCGATCTCAAGTCGGGATGTCACCAACTCGAGATTCGCAAGGAGGACCGTTACAAGACCGCGTTTAAGACGCGATATGGGCATATCAAATGGCTGGTTATGCCATTTGGCCTCACGAATGCCCCGACCACTTTCCAAGCGGCTATGACAACGGAATTCCGACACATGCTGGATCGATACGTACTTATGTACCTCGACGACATCCTTGTGTACAGCCGGAGTTTGGAGGAGCATGTGGAACACATGCGCACCGTTTTGGAGCGACTACGACAAGCCAAGTACAAGGCCAACCGCGACAAGTGCGAATTCGCACGACAGGAGCTGGAGTACTTGGGACATTATGTGACGCCGCAAGGCATCCGTCCGCTCGCGGACAAGATCGAGGCCCTACGAGTATGGCCCGAGCCCACCAACACCACGGACGTTCGTTCATTCATGGGATTGGCGGGCTACTATCAGCGATTCATCACCGGATACTCCGGGATTGCTGCACCTATGACGAGGTTACAGTCGCCAAAGGTGCCATTCGTATTCGATGACGACGCACGCTGGTCATTCCAAGCACTTAAGACGGCTATGCTCATGGCACTCGTCCTTAGCATCTATGACCCCACCTTGCCGACGAGAGTGACTACGGACGCTTCCGACTATGGCATTGGGGCAGTCTTGGAACAACACGACGGCTACGACTGGCACCCTGTGGAGTATTTCAGCCACAAAGTGCCTCCCATCAACTCGCTTGATGATGCAAGGAAGAAGGAGCTGCTCGCATTTGTCATGGCTCTCAAGCGATGGCGGCACTTCCTCCTTGGGCGTCGTAGGTTCACATGGGTTACGGACAACAATCCATTGACCTACTACAAGACGCAGGATACGGTGAGCAGCACGATCGGACGATGGATGTACTTCATCGACCAGTTTGACTTCACACCGAAACATCTTCCCGGCCTCTCAAATCGCGCAGCATATGCACTCTCGCGAAGACCTGATCTTTGCGTTATGACACATCATGCCTTCACATTCAACGAGGAGTTTCAGCGACACTTCATCCGGACATACGAGTCTGATCCGGACTTCGCCACGCTGTATGCACAGCTATCTTCGGATCACCTGCCGGCCAGCCACTATCGCATTGCCGACGGGTACTTGCTCCTCCACTTGAGAGGCAAGGACTTACTATGTGTCCCACGTGACCGCCGTCTTCGGACTCGCCTCCTCGGCAAGTATCATGATTCGCGACTCGCCGGCCATTTCGGAGTCAACCGCACTATTGCACGGCTTCGACAACGATTTCGATGGCCCGATCTCATTACCGACGTCACTCGGTATTGCGACTCTTGCCAAGTTTGCCGACGCAGCAAGCCCCGCAACCGCAATCCCATATGGAGTCGCCCGGGAAACCTCTTCCATGCCCACCAAACCAATCAATCATCTTCTATCTTGCCTGCACAGGAGATGGCGCCGCACTCCAATATCGTAACCACCATCCCTTACTCCTTTGCTGTGCACTCCAACCCACCACCACTCATCGGGAGCTCACGCTTCTACCCAGCACGTCGTCACCATGCGAAAGAGCGACAATCCGGCTCGGCGCGCCAGGTCGGGCCGGGCGCAGCGCTCCCAGTAGCGTCGCTAACCCCAGCATGAGCCTAATATCCTCTGCTCCCTCGTATAATCTCAGCCAGTACTAG